GGCCCGCCCCGGCCCGGCTCGCCCCGGCCCGGCTGCTGCCCGCACTTGGCGGCCGGCAGAGCGGTGCGGGGCACGGAGCCGGGGTCCGGGGAAGGCGGGGTGCGGGAGACAGTGGGTGTGTGTGAGTGCTGGAAGGGGTGGGGGTTGCTTTAGGCACAAGGCAGAGGCAAAACTCCACCTCGTTTTCTTCTTGGCAGTGAATTTGCTGCGCAGGAGTCCTGGGCTTGTTGTCGGATCGCCCTAGCAACTCGTCAGTGGTTTGTTTTTTTTTTCCCCTTCTTTTCTTTTCTGGTGTTGGGTTTTTTGTTTGTTTTTTTTAACCGGCTTCTACATCATGCCCCTCTTTCCCCCCGCTCCTTGTAAGGTTCTTCTTCTTTGACGTGGAGCTAGGGACAGGTCCTGCGTATATATTTAGATAAACCCGGTGTGCATCCCGGCGAGCTGGTGCTTTTGCGTGCTCGAGCCCTTTTTCCTGGACGTTGAAACCCGTCCGGCAGCCGGCGTGAACTTTCCTATGGGAAGTTTCACAGATTTCCTTGGTGCCTCTTCTCGCCTGAGGTTGTGCATGGAGGCAGAGAAGCGCCTTGTCGGCATCTCGAAAACAACTGATCGTTAGATTTTTCTCCACCTCGGGATTAGGATGGTGATCCACCATTATTTTTTGTTTCCTAGAGAATTGACCCCGTGCAAAGTCAAGCAGATCAGTTTGCTAACTCTTTTACCCATGACTTTGTTGCAACGAGCGTGTGGCTAGGAAGTCACATTCGTCAGTTCCTGACGGAGGATGCTCTTAGTTTTTACTTCTTAAAGCACCTTTAAGCTTCCCCCCCACCCCTTTATTCTGATTGCTCTCCTGCCCCCTCCCTCAAGAAGGTAGAGGTTGTGAATATTTATAACTACGAGCACGAAAGGAGTCTATTGTGCTCGTTTGGATTTGCGTCTTTAATTACTTTCTGAACAAGAAGAGACAACTGAACTAAGGTAGTTTTATGGTGCGGTTATTTCTCAGGGATTTTTTTTTAAAACCTCAGAAAAATTCTCTCTATTTTGGTGATGTAGTAAAAGTTTGCCACAGAGTGATTACAAGTGGGTCCTTCCCAAGAATTCCTGACGGAGATTGCAGAGAAATAGCATTTCAGCAACCGGGACAAAAAGCAGCAGAGTCAAGGCAGCCTAGAAAGCCTGCTTTTTACCAAATTATAGTTTAAAAAAAATGCACCCTGCCTTTTAAAGATGGCATTCCTCCCTTTGTGTACACGCCTCCCTACAAAAATAAAATACCTGCTTCTTTTCAGGTGCCAGCCCAAGTTATATTCATTTCTTTGCAAAGGCATTCGATAGGGGCTTTTTGTGAAAAAATTAAGGTGCTTTGAACGTTTGTTTTCCTAAGGCTTGCATGAGGTTTTGCAAAGGTCGAGACTCTTGAATATGGGCAGGAAGAAATAGAGCAAAGCTGAACTGAGCCAAATGAGGGGAAGAACAGGCGGTTTTGAATATTGAAACATTTGAGGAATACCTCTAGCCCGTGCTCTTCTTGATTTATTTGTGCTTGTAAGCAGGGGACATTCTTTAAATCAAAGATGAAAAGGGATGGCAATATCCCGAATAAATGTCCAGGCTGTTCGTGTGATTTGGAAAGCAAGAGGTAAAAGATGTGAATATCTGAACAATTCGCCGCAATAATGAGGCCTAATGAGGTGGTTAGCAAGATAAAATGGTATTTACCAAAACACCTGATGGGATAATTTGACTCGCTTGTGTTTTACTACAGAGGATAAAAAGACTATTGATTGTAAATAAATCACCGCCTCTAATCGCTCGCAAACAATTTGTGTTTGCTCCTCTCAGATCAAAGTAAAACTTAACAGATAAAGTAAAGTGCGGACATCTATCCTAGCAAGCGTGAGCCAGGCTCCAGAGTAACTGGGCTCCTTTCTAACAAGTTAATATTTTACAGCAGCCGGCCGGGGGCTGCGTTTGTGTGTGGGTGAAACCTCCTACATTTTAGTGGTCTCGTACTGAGCGATTGAGAACCACCTGGGGCCACTTGGATATTTTCGGGGGCCGCTTTTTGCAGGCAGGGTTGGGTAAAAAAAGAAGGCTTTGGGGGCGTTTGTGCCAGCCCCTCGGCTCTTTGGAGATCAGGTCGAAGGTGACGTGCTGGTGTCTGAAACGTGCTACCCCTAGCTGGAGAGGCTTGTGCGGGGAGAGCTCTCTTTTGTGTGTGTGTGTGTGTGTGGCTGGCTGCTGGTTTGAAACGCGCAGGAAAATGGTGCGGTCGGGGTGAAGGCGAGAAGATGGCATTGGCTTCGCTGGGGCTGGGGTG